ACTTTGATTACCACTCCCCCCTCCTTCCAGTAGATAAGTATTATCTTGATTTGTTTCAGTTTCAGGTTTCTCATTGTATGGATCACTGACTGAGTAATAGATGACTTTACCTCGTCTCACAGGAGCCTTGCGCTCCTTTTCAAATGTCACCAAGCAAGATAATTATAATGAAGAAGTGGCTGACTTAAAGGTAAGTTTTTTTAGATGAAAACCGTTATAGGAAACAGACAAATATTTGACATTCTTTTTCTCAGTTTTGTGTGGTTAAAATGATATATTTTAATATTGTTTGGTGGTCAAGAAAGGGAACGAGTATACTGATGTTTCTTAATGGAATTATTTATCTTAAGCACCTAATGACTGTATTGTCAAAGAGAATGATCAGAACTATGATGCTGAATCCTTAGTTAATTTTTCAGTTGCTGAGGTTCTTGCCCCAGTTAATTTTGTACTTTAATTTATTAATTTATCCCTGGATCATTTAAGTTTTTATGTCTCTGGTAAAATACTTATTTTTTAAAATATTTTTAATTTTGTATTAAATTTATTGGGGTGATCTTGGTTAGTAAAATTATATGGGTTTCAAATGTACATTTATATGAAACGGCATCTGTATATTGCATTGTGTGTTCACCACCTAGAGTCAGTTCCCCTTCTTTCACCATACGTAGATTGGACCCCCTTATCCTTCTACCACCCTCACCTCCCCCCTTACCCTCTGGTAACCACTAAACTATTGTGTGTATCTATGTGTTTTTGTTTCTTTGTTTGTTGTCTTGTTCCTTTGTTGCCTTCAGTTTTATATCCCACCTATGAATGAAGTCATATGGGTTTTGACTTTTTCTGTCTGACTTATTTGGCTTAGCATAATAATCTCAAGATCCTTTGATGTTGTTGCAAATGGCAGTATTTCATCTTTTCTTACGGCATAGTAGTATTCCATTGTGTATATGTACCACATCTTCCTTATGTAATGGACAGAAACATGGGAAATATGAATTTTACTCTCTTAAACACAGCTGGTTTCATGATTGGCTTCTGTCTGGTCCTTATAATTGGCTGTGAACTTTTTAGTCCTGAAGGTATGTGAGCTGTACACATGAAGGAATGAGTCATATAATATAGTATATGTAGGAACCGGCCCTATGCTGGTTTTTAAAAAACAAGTCACTTTGCTGACTCTTTATTTGACTCTATTGTGAATATTAACATTATTTCCTAGTAGGTTAGAATTTTATTGTTTAAATGCTTATGCAGTTTTACAATGAATAACTTCACTTCAAGATTACTATGAAGAAAAAAGATTTGTAAGTCTTTAGGTAGGTTTTTCCTCTAAAGGTGATACAGAGTTTTTGCTACACACAAAACAATTAACCTTCTTTATGATGTGAGTTGTTTTGCATTTTCACAGCAATTAAATGAGGATATATTTTATATAATTAGTTAATATTGCTATCTTAAACTTGAATTATTTCCTCTCCTCTCCTACGAAGTCCCTTTACAGGTGCTTTTATAGTAGAGATTCAACAGAAAACTTTAAAACTTGAAAGTATATACGGATTACATGTTTATCCCATGTCATTTTATTTATTCTTGTAGGTTTTAAAACTTTTTTCTTGCCTAAGGGAAGAAAGTGGCTCATTAGTGATCCTCGTTTTAATTTAACTTTTTATCTTGGGAAATAGTCAACATATATAAAAGAGAGAGAAAAGTAAGATGAACCTTTATGTACTGTGATACATTGTAACAACTTAATTCAATTTACGGCTAATTTTATTTCATCTCTACACTTGCCCATTTTTCTCCCCCTAAACCCAGATTAATTAGCTCCATTTTAAATTAGAAAACTGAGGAAAGGAAGTAATAGTGAATTATACAATATCATCATTACAACCAAGAGGAAAATTACAATTTTCTATCTGACCCACTACTTTTCCATTTGGTCAGAGGCTTCATGAAGTTTAATCCATGGATCAAGGCCATTGTATTAAGTAAAAAAACTATTGCTTTCTGTGTCAGTTCTTGAGAATGGAAAGATTTATAGTCTTAAGAATTGAGTGTGTATCGATAACAATCTCCTGGATGCCTAACCTGTTCTAGGATCATACTTAGGAAAGCAATGCTGATTTGAATATATTGAACTCATCGTAGGAATCTAATTTTCTTTAAATGTCTTTCACCAAAAAGCATGACATAAAGCTCTTATATACAAAATGGTCTAAGCTTTGTTAAAAACAAAGAAGAAAATTGAAAAGAGATATGCGGGATGTTAGCTGTTATTATCCAAATGTTGGACTTTTTGCTTTTTACTTTGCTGTATGAAAATAATTTCATGTTTATTTATTGTGATTAAAACTGTAAAAAAAAAGCTCTTATTAAACATATCTTTTAAACAAATGAGATTCTTTTAAATCTTATTTAAATAAGGCCCTTGGAAGCTGTAAATTTGAATGCAAATAGACACAATTTTCAATTCTTGTAGGCAGTGCCAAGTTTATAATGTAATGCAAAATATATGCAATACATGATGGATTTGAGAAAATCTTTAACTAATATGTGTCTGTATAATGCTTTGTGTTTCAGGTGAAGCGGTCTAAACTTCATGAACAAATTGTAGGATTGGACCTGACATGGAAGAAGATAGTAAAATTTTTGAATGAAAAACTGGAGAAGAGTGAAATGCAAAGTGTAAATGAAGACTTAAAAGATATATTGCAGGCTGCAAAACAAATAGGTATAGTTTTGTTTTATTTATTTATTTATTTTTTAGAGACCCACTAAGGTTCAAAAATAGATTTCTTTTAAATTGTATACTGTAGAGTGAAAGGCCAAAATTTCCAGGCAAGTATTCATAATTATGAAAGACTGTCTAATCTATCCAGGAGCTTAGGATAGAGTCAGGGGGGCAGAAGTAAACTAGTAATTATAATACAATCAAACATGAGGGATTTATAGGAATTTAGAGTTTGAAAACTACTCTCTTGCTTGAAATAACGAAAGAGTAAATTACAATTTTAATGTAGCTCCAAGGAACCTTAACAGCCATGTTGCTCAATCTCTTACAGGAGCCCACCTAGGAATAGTGAGGGGAAGTACTGAGGCTGAACGTTGCTTCAGTTCCTGTTGCACACTCACATTCTCATTGGTTGACTGTATTTGAAGGAAATTATAATTAGAGTTTGTAATACTGTATACCTACCACAGGTTACTCTGCCGAAGTTCAAAACCAAGCAAAATAAAACAAAGCAGTGATTCTTAGGTAAAACCTCAGAGTTTGTTCAGTGACATTTATCATCGCATTTCAGACTGAACTAAAAAGCATAGTTAACACTACTGTAATTCTGAATTTTTCCAGTTCAGGTTTGTACCTACAAAAAGTTCAAAGTGATACTCTGGCCCTGTGTAACCTGACCTCCGCCTCCTTTCTCCGATTGCTACTCATCATTGCCTTCACTAATTGTGCTTCAGACGCATGCCTTGTCTCAATTCCTCAAACCCACCAAGTTGATACCTGTTTGGGGGTCTTTGTACTGTTGCCTGTGTTGAGAATTGTTCTTCTATCTTAATCTTAGAGTGGGTAGATCCTTTCTTGTTACTTTGAACTCACCTAAAAAATTATTTCCTTAACGAGGCCCTCACTGACCATCCAATCTTAAGTTGTTACCCAGTCACTCTTTATCTATCTTATAACCCTTGGTAACATTTCCTCCCTAACATTTATCATTATCTGATATTTACTTGTTTGTTTATTGACTGTATTTTGCTAGTAGGATGTAAGTTTCATGAGAATAGGGTCTTATTTTTTTGTTCAACACTCCATCCCTAGTTCTTAGAATAGTGCTTGGCATATTTTAGGGTCTTAATGAAGTTTCACTTGATAAATAAATGAAAAGGTTTTCTCAGATGAGTTCTTGGTAGAGGAAAAATTTAGATCCTTACTTTACCATATGCTGGTTGGCAGTTTCTTCCCTACACCAGCTTTGGAAGGTGTTTCTATTATATCTCATATACTTGAAGATTTCTTATTTATGATCACCAAATCTTTAAATTTATTCTTCAAATATTTTGACTTTGATGTATCATTTAATTATCATTGGTTTCTAATATAGTATAAGATTGAATTTAATGCCTTCATTGTTTAAGTTGCGAAACTACAAAATGAATGTCATATATGCTTTTGCATTTAGATGATCTGAAGTTCAGGGGCTTTAGTAAGGATTGAGTTTGATTAAGCCTAGGGGAAATAGAGCACACTTTGATGGTATTTTAAGAATAATGAAAAAAAAAAAAGAATAATGAGGCAGTTAGGTTCATGCAAAATAGTGAAAATGCAGCCTCTATTCTACCTGGATCGCCTTAACTATTAGATCCTAACCCTCTGGACTTAACTGTCTTCCTTTCTACGATGTTAGGGCCGCTGGGGGGTGGTCTGAATAAAGTGCTTTTCAAAAACTATAAAGTATTCTTCCTCTTTTTAGCTCCA